GGCGCTGCACGCTGGCCCCCCGCACGTACTTGCGCACCCAGTGGTCGGCCGTCTTCGCGCCGGCGCCCAGGTTCTGCACGGCGCTGTGAGTCTTGCTGATGAGGTGCACTACCTCACCGCGCTCCCGCAGCTTGGTCACGATGGTCCGCGCCAGGTGCGTCTTGCCTGTGCCGGGCAGCCCGGTGAGCAGGAGCGATCGGCCGGCTAGGCAGTGCGCCACAGGGTCGGCCACGTCCGTCCAGCCGGCGGCCCTTGCTGGCGGCTCCGCCTGCATGCAGGGCGGCGCGTGCTTGCCTCGCAGCGGCTTCGTCGTCTCCTCGTGGCGGAATTTGGGCTTACCGTCTGGGTACGTGTTGTGGACGAGCCGCTCCAAGTTGTCTCGGAACTTCCGCGGCATGCCCTGCAGCACCACGCAGTCCGTTTTCACCTGCTTGATGTACTTTGGCGGAAGGCCCAGTTCTCGTCGGATGCGTGCCACCATCGTCGCCTCGAAGCCGAGCACGCAGTCGTGGATGGGGCGCAGCGTCCCGTTGTTGTGGATTGAGCGGGTGGTGATGAAGTCCCACACGTACCGGCCTTCGCCGACGTAGAATACCTGCCTGGTGTCGGCCCCTGTCGCGGTCCAGCTCGTTGCTGCTGCTGCGCAGCGTGTACGCCTTGTTGCTGTCGTGTGCCATGAGCCCGATCATCGAGTTCACTGCAAGCTTTGCCATATGTTCTTCGCCCTCGGGCCAGGCCTGCTCCATGACGTCCAGCGCCGGCGCCAGGCACTCCGCGGTGACGTGGCTGGCCGCGTTCATCGTGTGGAGCACGTCGGACCACTGCGCCACGCCGCAGCGCAGCATGTAGTCCAGCGAGACCTTCGGGTACCAGCCCGGCCCCACGTAGGGCAGCAGCGTCACGGGGGCATCGCGCCCCCGATTTTGCAGGTCCACAAACGAGAGGTCTGCGAGGTGCCCGGGCCGCGCCGGCTCGATGTTGTCGGCCGGGCAGAAGATGGGCAGTGGGAACGGTGCGTTGGCCAGCCCGTTCCTGCGGCAGCGCACCACGTCCACGCCTTCGAGCGGTCCGCTGCCCGGGGCCCGCGCCTGGAACACTAACGGAGGCTGCTTGGGAGAGCGTACGTACGCGTCGTAGACCGAGCGCGTGAACCGCGACTCCAGCGACGTGGGCTGCATGCTTTCGGTCTGGGTCTTCATCTGGTGGCACTCAAAGCAGAGCGCCTGGAAGCGCTGCTGCTGCCCGGCGAAGGCCTGCCGCACCGGCACGATGTGGTCGAACTCCGCGCACCCGGCGCCGATCTGCTGCCCGCAGGCGGCGCACTTGCCTCCCTGCTCGGCCAGCAGCAGCTTCTTCTGCCGCTGGCTCGGGGTGATCCTCGGCGCCTTGACCAGCGTGGAGAAAGCCTCGAAGCTCAGCGAGGCCAGCCTCTGCCCGCGGTAGTGCAGCCCCAGCCCCTTGGCCCATGCCTGCAGCAGCTCCCAGTCCTCGGGCAGCTCACGGATCACGCACTGCCCGCCCTTGGCGCGCAGCTTCAGGCTCGAGAACTGCACGAGCGAGCGGAGCGTGACCTGCGGGTTGTGCTCCGCGAGCAGCAGCTGCCGCCTCGTCTCCCGTAGGTCCGTCGTGTGGAAGTGACCCGGCTTGATCTCGCCCCACCACGGGCTCCACTCCTCCAGCGGCGGCACGGTCTGCTTCGGGTCGCGCCGGTACATGACCAGCGCGCAGCCCATCTGCTCCAGCACCGGCCGGGCGTTCCGGTAGAAGAAGGCGTGCCCGTCGTAGTAGGTGAACACCACGGTCTCCCGCTGCGCGGGCTCGAAGCGGTCCAGGGGCTCGCCTGTGTTGGAGATGAGGACCATGGGCGCGTTGCGCCACGCGCAGAAGGCTCGTATCTCCACCGGCGAGATGCCGCGCGCGCGCCAGTCGTGCTCTGCAAGGGCGTCGAAGTCTCCGCAGACCTCCTCGAAGGGCACGCCCAAGAGTTGAGCCAGCTGCCGCGGCACGCAGGCGTTGTCCCCGGAATCCTCGAATGCGCATTCCAGGATACTGTTGAAGCACGGCAGTTGGTACGACACGCGGCGCAGGCCTCGCAGCCTCTGCCGCAGGATGGTTTCTACGTGTACGCGGCTGTTCCGGTATTGCGTCGTCTCCGAGGACACCACCCACTCCCCCTCCGGGTCGTAGAAGTACGTCTCGTCGCTGAGTTCCATGATGGGCGCCCTGCCGGCGGCGCGGTCCTCGTCCCCCGCGGTTATCAGCCGCAGCGTCTCCTGCTTGACGTTTTGCAGTATTTGCTGCTCCGACAGCCTGTCGGGCTGCCGGCTGGCCTCTCCACCCAGGACATTTGCGGGGAGCCAGTCCCTGCGCTCGTAAGCCCGGCCCGCGTTTTTGCCGGCCCGCCGCATCCCCCTGATGACCACTGGGATGTGTGCTACGTGCTGCGAGTACTTGTTCTTGAAGAACCGCCTCCCTAGGTTCGTCAGCTGGTAGGTGCCGTCCTCCCGCAGCCGCCGCACTAGGCCCCGCTGCCCGTTCTGCAGTAGCACGTAGTCGGCCGCACCCTCCCTGACCAGCGGCTGCCTTGGGTCGAAGGTCCTCGACTCTGGCTGCCGCCCGAGCATGCCGAAGTAGGCCTCCCCGGCCCTAGTAACGCTCCCGTCCGCGCGCTGGAGCAACGCGTAGGCGCCTCGGCCCCGCCTCAAGCCCAAGACACGGCTTCCGTCATCCGTGTCCCGGGCCCTCGATCCGGCCTCGACCGCCTGCCTGATGTTCTCTCGTTGTGTTGCCCAGGATGCCATTGTTGTCGATTGCTTTTCTTAGGCCGGCGGAAAAAAAGTGGTCCGACCAAGGTGGCCGCCCCGGCCCTGAAGTTCTGTGGGTTCCCCAGCCCTCTTCGCGGGTTTTCTCGAGGCCCCCAAACGGGTCTCTGCGGGCGCGTTCTTTTGCGTCGGGGATCCACGGTCAAAAGAACGTGGTTTTAAAAGGGACAAGAGTCCCCGCCTGCGCCGGCCTTCGCCTGCAGGTCGCGGACCTCGAGGACCAACCCGCACTGCTTGCCCATGATCCAGACCTGCCGGGCCTCGACGCGGGCCTGGCACTCGCAACCGGCCAGGGTCTCGGGCCTCCGGATCCTGTTTCCGTCAGCGTCCCAAAAGCGCACATTGCGCAAGTCCAGCTTGCACTTCAGGAAGGTCGTTCCCTGACGCGACTCCTTGAGGCAGCTTTGCCACCTGTCCTTCACGTTCTTGTCGTCCCATCGCGCCGATAGTTCGCCAACGCATCTCTTCTCAAAGTCATCCCAGGCCGCCCAGGCCTCGGAATCCCTCTCCATCGCAAAGCAGACGTTCTGCCGAGGCCCCTGGTCCTCGCCGAAACTGCTGGGCTCCCAGAGGACGCTGGTCCACTCGGACTGCCAGACGATAGGCTTCCCCTCAGACCTCAAGGGCGCCGACTTGGCTCCCTTAAAACTGGTCTGGACCTCGCCAATGGCGAATGTGGCGGTAATAGTCATCTGATGCCGGCGTTTTTTTTAGTAGGGTGGCAAAAAAAGGTGGTCCGACCAAGGTATCGACCCCGGCTCAAGCGGCTCGGATTTTGGCATGGCATGATTTTGCATGGTTTTTGCATGACATTTGCTCGGTGTGCGTGGTTTTGCATGGTTTTGGCATGGAATTTGCTTTTGTTTGCGCCCTGACCCCTGTCTTGAGGAAGGTGACGCCGTGACGGAGACGTTGTCGTGTCGTGTGTTGGGGGGGGGGCCACTGTGAAAGTGGCGGCCACTGTACAAGTGGCGGGGCGGGGGGGCCACTGTGAAAGTGGCGGCCGCTGTACAAGTGGCGGGTGGTGCGACCACTGTTCAAGTGGCAGGCCACTGTACAAGTGGCATGGAGGGGGCCACTGTGAAAGTGGCGGCCACTGTGGTTGAGCGTGCGCTTTAGGGCAGTGTCGAGGATCGAAGGTTGTGACGGGGTTTGCGTGGTGCTTTGCTATTTGAGCAAATGGCGGAGTTGCGTGACTTGACCTTGACATTTTTATTTTTCATGATTTTGTGGCATGTGGTTGTCTGGAACGATTCATGTGGACCCAAGCTGCCGAACAGGCAGCGGGAGGGCGCTGAACAAGCGCAAGGCTGCCGAACAGGCAGCGGGAGGGTGCCGAGCAGGCACCGGGGGGGGTGCCGAGCAGGCACCGGGGGGGGGGGGTGCCGAGCAGGCACCGGGGGGTGCCGAGCAGGCACCGGGGAGTGCCGAGCAGGCACCAGGAGCTGTCACAAGCTCGGGGGGGATGGAGCTGTCACAATCGGGGGGGATGGAGCTGTCACAAGCTCTGGGGGCTACGCAGGCCCCAGCTGCTTGGCAGGAAGGTTGGCTGACGTCGAGAGGATGTGCTCTTTTTTTTTTTTGGCCGGCATGTGCATTGAACTTGATGGGAGGCGATTCTTTCTAGGGATGTGAGGGTCTTGGAGGGGCGTCAAACCTTGCAGGAATACGGCCTAGGTTTAGAAGGCGTGTGGACTGAACTTGACGGGATACATTTTTTGAGGCATCTCCACGGGTGCGAGGGTCTTGAAGAGACATCAAACCTTGTAGGAACACGGCCTGGGTTTTGAAGACTTGTGCACTGAACTTGGCATGTTTTTTGAGCATGACACGGATTTTGAGGGCAAATATCGCGTTTTTTTGGCGGCGTGGCGTTGTAGCGTGGGTGCAAAGGCCGTGCGGACCTCCCCGGGCCCGCATGGCTGCGAGAGCGGAAAAAAGGATCCTGTTGGCGTTCCCCGGGTGTCCCCTGTCACCCGGCTCTGTTCTGGCGTGCCCCCCCTCGTCCCCCGAGTGCCCTGAACAGGCGTTCTTGCGGAAAAAAAAGGCGTTTTTGCGTTTTTGCGTTTTCTGAGAATTTCGTTTTTGCACGGTTTTCACGCATGGATTTTCTTGCCGTGACACGTCTCTTTTTGCACGTGACGTTGGTTGTGGACTTGAGGGAAAGGGACGTGCTGCAGCCCCTTTTTTTTGGAGGGCGCTTCTGGGGGGGGTCTGGGGGGCAGCGAGGCTGTTCGCCGGGAGCCTGGCTGTGCTGTGACCCTCCGCCCTAAATGGCAAGCCGTTTTTGTCCCCTTAACCCGCTCATCCTTGTTTTCATCGAGACCTTGATGTCCTTGCTTGTGAGGTTGAACCCCGTGACTTTGAGAGACCGTGACCTTGAGCCGGCCGCAACCTCGGAGAGTTGAAGGGGAGCCAGGGTACTTAGGGCACTTGGGTCCTTGTCCTGTGGCTTGTGCGGTTGGGGTGGTTGATTTTTTGTCTTCTTCTTTTTTCTTGAGTTTTTCATTTCTTTCTTTTGTTTTTGAAGAAGAAGAATCAACTGAACAATACAAGCAAAACAAGCGTACCAAATACGGAGCCCATCAAAGACGCCACCAAAAAACGGAGCCCGTTAAACAAAAAAAAACATGGTGGTGCCCCGGAGGCGCCCTACTCTCCCCGGCGGTGCCCCGGTACCCCCTCTCCCCGGCCCAGGTGCCCTAGGTGCTGGGTGCCCTGCCCCCTCTCCCCGGCCCCGGCCCCTAGGTGCCCTAGGTGCCCTAGGTGCCCTAGGTGCCCTAGGTGCCCTGGGTGCCCTGCCCCCTCTCCCCGGCCCCGGCCCCTAGGTGCCCTAGGTGCCCTAGGTGCCCTAGGTGCCCTGCCTCTCCCCCCCCAGGTGCCCTAGGTGCCCTAGGTGCCCTGCCCCCTCTCCCCGGCCCCGGCCCAGGTGCCCTAGGTGCCCTAGGTGCCCTAGGTGCCCTAGGTGCCCTAGGTGCCCTAGGTGCCCCAGGTGCCCTGCCCCCCTTTTTTCCCCTGAGCAGGGTCCCGGGGCACCCAGGGCACCTAGGGCACCCAGGGCACCTAGGGCACTTAGGGCGCTTCTGGGGCGGCCCCGGCTCAGGTCAGTAGGGCACCTAGGGCACCTAGGGCACCTAGGGCACCTAGGGCACTTCTGGGGCGCCGGCTCAGGTTGGTAGGGCACCTAGGGCACCTAGGGCACCTAGGGCACCTAGGGCACTGGGGCGGCCCCGGCTCAGGTCGGTAGGGCACCTAGGGCACCTAGGGCACCTGGGGGGGACCGGGAGGGGGCAGGGCACCTAGGGCACCTAGGGCACCTAGGGCACTTAGGGCGCTTCTGGGGCGGCCCCGGCTCAGGTCGGTTACATCCTGGCGAAGACGACCCCGGCAGGGCACCTAGGGAAACGGGTCTGGAGGGGGTTTCGGATTTTTTTTGCAATGGTCTGCCCAACGGGCCCGGGAGGATTCGTTTTTCAATGGTTCGACCAACGGGTCTGGAGGGGTTTCGGTTTTTTTCAATGGTCTGCCCAACGGGTCTGGAGGGGTTTCGTTTTTCAATGGTCTGCCCAACGGGCCCGGGGGGATTCGTTTTTCAATGGTTCGCCCAACGGGTCGCACCTAGGGCGCTTCGGGTGGGATCTGCCCCGGCTCAGGTCGAGAGGACCCTGCCAGGGGGGCACTTCTGGCGGGACCCAGCCCCGGCTCAGGTCGGTTACATCCTGGCCAAGAGGACCCTGGCAATTCAGGTCCTGGTTGAGAGGATCACCCAGGGCACCTAGGGCACCTGGGCGGGACCCGCCCCGGCTCAGGTCGGTAGGGCACCCAGGGCACCTAGGGCACCTGGGGGTCAGTTACGGGCGCGCTCGCTTACGTCTGACATCCACGATAAAAAGAACGCAGTTTTTCACCTGCAGGTCGCGGACCTCCACCAGGCCGCATTGCTTGCCCTAGTGGCGATGGCAGTCATCTTGACTCTTGCTTGCCGGTCCTTTTTCTATAGGGCGGACAACAAAATGGTCCGACTAAAGGGACGGCCCTCGGCTCACGCGGCTCGAGGGCCGCCATTTCCGGAAAAAAACACCATTTTGTTTGTTTTTCCGTAAATTCAGCTTTGCGTGGTTTTTGAGCGTGATTTTGCATGACAGGTTGCCGGTGTTGCGTTTTTCTCATGATTTTCACGTTGTCGGTCGTGTTTGGAAAGAGCTTCCCCAAGCACGTGAGCCTTGTGAAGGCGAGATTCGGGGACGTTCTGGGGTCGGGCGGCAGGGAACCGCTCGCGGGTGCAAAGGCGTGGTTTCAGACTCACAGTTTTTCTTGACCTCACGTGCCCTGTGCCCAGACTTCGACGTGCAGATCTTCTCGCAGCGCCGCGCTTTGGAGTTGCCTTTTTGTCACTTTTTGTTGGCCGCTTGCAGGTGGATCCAATTCGTGCTACTGGGGACTCTGTGGCTGGGCACCTGTGCGGATTGGTGTCAACTCGGCCTTTGAGCAGTGTTTCAGGCTTGGTCCTGGATTTTGAAGGTCGTGTTTTCGCGCTTCCCCGTGCCAGGCTTTGTTTTGACATCGAGGCATACTGCCCGGACCTTCGCTGCTTCCGTTGTCATGGCCATCAATGCCAACTGATCTTTGAGGTTTGGGTCCCAACTCGCCAATCTGTCAGGCCCCCTGATCTTTGGCCTAGCGATGCCCGGACACCCCCCCCCGTCCCGTGCCAGGATTTGCGCGACTCGCGTTGCTTTTTTGTGTGCTTTTGCCAACCCCTTGAAGCCGCGCCGTCAGGCCCGTGTATCTTTGGAAATCGTGACCTCGTTGAGCCAGGCCCGCATTTTGTATTGTCTCTCCAACCTGGTGAACCCTTGACCTTGAGAGCGATTGCCCCAACCCCGTCAAGTCGTACTGTCAGGTTTTTTGTAAGTCAGGCAGCGTGGTTTCCTCAAAATCTTTTTTTTTCCTGGCGCTCAGGCACTGCGAACTTTTGAGCTTCCGCCCGGGCCCTCGCCGCGTTCCATTGTCATGGCCAAGAAGTCCCGTGCAGGTTATTGTCATTTGATCTTTGTCACCAATCTGTCAGCCCCCTTGATCTTTGACCCAGTGAACCCCTGGAACCCCTGGAACTTCTGGAACCCCTGGAACCCCTCAAGCCCTGGAACCCCTGAATGCCTGGAACCCCTGGAGCCCCCTGGAACCCCTGGAACCCCTGCAACCCCTGGACCCCTGGAACCCCTGGAACCGTCCCGAGGGTCCCTGCGATCTTTGTGGTTCCTGGGGTCCCTGGCGTCCCTGGGGTCCCTGGGGTCCCTGGGTCCCTGGGCACGCGTGCGTCCGCTGCAGGTGCCATGAAGCAACGTCCTTCCATCAAGACGTCTGGCCAGGGTCCCAAAGTGCATACATCCTTGTCAACACACGGCGTTTTCAGGGATTTTAGGGACCCCAGAAACCTTTACGGACCCTAGGGGCCTTAGGGACCCTAAGGGACCTTAGGGACCCCACGGGACCTTAGGGACCCCAGCAACCCTGGGTCTTGGGGGCAAGAGATCCTGTGAAGTGTGAAGTCATCTCTCAAGCTTCGGTTGGTTGCAGCTTGCCACGCAAGGGGACACAAAGACGCGCGGAAGGGCAAAGCTTCTGTTGTTTTCCCATTCGAGCAACTTTCCATACATCTATTTATCTTCGTGTACTCAAATCTATTTATTTCCATACATTTATATCTTCATATCTCTACGTATTTGTATCTCTTTATGAATTTCATATATTTATATCTTTGTATTTCTACAAATTCATATCTTTATATCTTTGTATCTTTGTATCTTTCTCTTTATATCTTTATATCTTTATGTCTTTGTGCCTTTATGTTGGTATGTCTCTACATGGTGTTTTCTAGTTTGTAGTTGGGAGATGATGTTGTGGTGTTGTGGCCCATTTGCAATGTGTGTGTGTGTGTGTCTTGGCTTCGGCATTTTGTGTTTTTGCATGACCCTATGATGCTGGAGAATGCCCAGGCTGAATGGTACCCGGCGTGAAGTTCTTGCCAAGATCCCTTCAAGCCCCAAAATCCTTGGGGCCACCAAGGATCTCTTGAAGTCTCTGGGTCGCTGGGTCCCTGAAGTCCTCGGAGTCCCTAGGGTCCCTAGGGTAGGGTTTGCAGGGTTGCTAGGGTCCCTAAAGGTCTCTAAGGTCCCTAAATTCCCTAAAGGTCCCCAAGGTCCCTGAACCTGCCGTGCGTTGACAGGGACGAGCGCACTCTGGGGCCTTGGCGGGACGTCTGATGCACACGTGTGCAGATTCAGGGACTCTAGGACCCTAGAAACCTTAGGAGGGACCCTAGGGAATGTAGGGACCCTAGGGACCCAGGGACCCCAGAGGCCGCAGTGATCCCAGGGACCAGGGACGCCAGAAACCCCCGCCCTTCAGGCCCTGGCGGCCCGGTGCCGATTTCGGCTGCTTGTTTTGCAGGCAGGCCAGTTTGGTATCTCGCTTGGACTTTGATGCAGCGGCAGGATGTGGGTCAGCCAGTCTGACGGATGGACGCTGCGAAGCCTTGCAAGGCTTGGCCCGACCGACCTTCAGGCCGCGAGTGAAAAGGAGGAGGAGCATCCAAACCCGTGCGTTGGTGTTGCCAAAGAAGCCAGTCAATCTTGTGTTTGCTCTGGAAACTTGGCTCGAGGGTACTCATCAACACTGACACAACAACAGCTCGCAATGGTTGCCCGATGGGTCTAGTGCCAGTGCTTGAGGAATCGCAGGCCGCTCAAGCGCTTTTCGAATAGCCATGGCGATGATGCGGACCAGGACCAAAAGCCGAGGCTGGCAAGCTTGTGACGCTTCCGTGCCCGCAGTAGGCAGCGGCCAGGTATGTGCCTCTGCCTTCTCGGGATTGCATTGGCGCTGCTCGTGCAGCCGAGCACGGCCTGGGTCTTGGGACACATTTTTTTCGAAGGTTTTCGGGTTTCAGGAGTCCCTTGTCGCCGCCGCCCAGGACTTTGCTCGAGGAGTTCCTGGGCTCAAGGAGCATGAAGTCCCTCCTTTGGATGTTCTTGTTTCGTGCTGAGTGCCAGGACAGCATGTTGGCCCAGTTCTCAGAGTTGCCCGCGGGCGCAAGCAGATTGCACTTTGGCTCTTTCAGGCAAAACGGCACCCGTTGCATGCCGGAGTCGCTCGGCGCGCCGGGGCTGCGCAAGAGGACTCCTCCGACCCGAAGCCTGTTCGCATCTTTTGCCGGTTGCCGCCAGGACAACAGTGCCGAGGCCGGGGACACCCTCTTCTTCCATGAAGGATGCCAGCCATGTAAAAATCAGCAGTGTCCGCCTCCATGCGAAGTTCGCAATGCTCTTGAAGTGTATTGGCAGACTCTTACCTTTTGACCCCCGGCGGCGAGATAGCATAGTTGTTCTTTGTGACTGTACAGGCAATTTGGGGCATTCGGGGAGCGAAAGGAGCTTTGAGTGTCAGTCCAGTGCAAGGGCATCGGCAAGGTGGCGTCTTTGACGGCTCCAGCAGCGCCAGCGGCAACCAGAGTGCTAGTAAACAAGCCGCGTAGGGTCGTGAACACGCGGACCAACATAACACGAAGCGGCAAGGACATGTTGGCACGCAAGAAGTCGTCCGCCGCCCAAGAGTGCTCATCAAATGCTTGAAGGCACTGGGCAAACATTGCCGACGTATCCAGCGGTAGGATTGGCCTTGCAGGCCCGTGAAGTTCAGGAATGGCCATGGCTGTGATGAGGGCCAGGATACAAAGCCAAGGCCCGCAAGCTGATATGCTGCGCTGTTTGTTGTGTGGTTTTGCAAGGTGCGTGCCTCAGCCTGGGAATGCGCTGGCGTTGCTCATTGCAGTGGCCGAGCACGGCCTGGGTCTTGGGAACGTTGAGGGGTTGGCAGCTGACTCGTTCGGGCTTCAGGAGTCCCTGTCCGCCGCCCACGAGTTTTCGCGAGGAGTTCCCGGTCGGAAGGACCGTGAAGTCCCTCTTTGCGAATGTTCCTGCTTGTGCTGTGATGCGAGGACCGCAACGGCGCACCGGCCCAATCTTCAGACTTGTCCACTAACGCAAGCAGATTGACCCTTTTCGCATCCTGCGAGCTTAGTGAGGCATCGAGCCAGCGCTGGTTGCATGCTGGAGTCGCCTTGCGTGCCAGGGCTGCACGAGAGGACCTTCGGACCCAAAGCTTGCAAGTTTGGACGATTGCAGTTGCCAGGACAACAATGCCGAGGCCTGGGGGACATGTGCATCAGAACGCTGGGCTTCTTGGCTGCCAGGACCGGCTCCATCTCGAGGAGGCGGCAGGCCTTCAGAGAAAGGACAGGTCCCAGCTTGGCCTCGCTCAGGCGATTGCAGAAGCCAAACGGGTGCTGCAGGACAACGACACGGTGGAAAAGATAAAAGCTGTCTTGCGCCGCTGGAGCAGCACATGGGTCGGGGTTTTCAAGAGCGGTGAAGGGTTTGAGCTCAGGAAAAGCGCAGAAGATAAACCCAGGGAAGTGGACGCTTTCAGGGAAGAAAGACGAGTTGAAGCAAAAACTGCGCGAGTTCGTGGAAGAGGCAGGACTGCGTGCTTTGTCTGAGATTCACAAGCGGTTTTCGTGCGACGCAGGCCAAAGCAACCCTGAAGGGCTTGAAAGAGGACGTCCGTTCGTGCGCACTGCTGGGGCTGTGAGTCAGGGCTCCTGTGTTGTGTGTTGCAATTGGTGCGCCAGGATTCTCGCAGGGCGCAGGTCCAGATCTCGGTGTCACTGTAATTGTCTTTGCCTGGATTCTTAGCTCCTCTTGAGGTGACAAGCTGGCACCCTGGGCGTGGCGGAGTTGCTTCGCGCGCCAGCCCGCAGCAGGACGCTCCAATCAGCAGTTGTAAATTTGGCCGGTTGCAATCGTGCCAGGACAGTGGTGCGGAGGCCGGGGACACGTGCATCAGGCTTGAACGCTGGGCTTGTTGGTTGTCAGGACCGGCGCGATCTCGAGGAGGCGGCGGACCTTCAGAGAAAGCGACGTCCCAGCTTGGCCTCGCTCAGGTGGTCGCAGAAGCCGACAGGGTGCTGGAGGACAACGGCACGGTGAAAGAGACCAAAGCCGTTTTGCGCCGCTGGAGCAGCACGTTGGTCGGGGTTGCAAGAGCGGCGAAAGTGTTGAGCTCAGGAAAAGCGCAGAAGATATATCCAGAAGAGATGCCAGTGAAGCGCAGAATTCCCAAAGCAGAGGATCCCGCCGTCTTCACCACCGACGTGTTCATCCCCTTGGATGAAACCATTCGCAAGCTGGATGTTTTGTTGCAAGATGAGAGGGTGGTCTTTCTACGTGCTGGTGTGGCAAGCGGCAAGTCTACATTGGCGCAGCATTTGTGTACCACACAGCCGTCCAAGTATTTTGGAGTCCATGCCCCACTTGCAAAGGATGCAACCATTTTTGAGATGTGGGAGAGAAAGATGAGGGCAGCTGTTTGGGGACAAAACTCGAATGTGAAAGACAAAGACTTGCAAGATATGATAAGATTGATCTATGACAATGACCAAGTCCTGGTTTTCGATGAATGCCACTTGCTCTTTGCTTGCCCCGAGTTCCACGAGCAGTTCCTGAAAAAGCCCTCGTATCTGAAAAGGCGTCCAATGGTTCTGCTCTTATCTGCAGCGTCTGAAGGAACAGATCAGCAAGGACGGACCTACTTAACACCAGCGGCAGTTACTGCAAAGTACATGTGGACTCCCCCAATCCCACATGCCAATGAACTTGTTGATCAACTTGCTGAGGCTGATGTCTATTTGTCCCAGGATGCGGTTGCTTTCTTCATGGACTTTTGTGCTGGACACAGAAGTCTATTCATAAGAAGCATGGAATGGGTGCAGCAGAAGCAAAGCGGGGACAGCACTCGCTGGGATTTGACTCGCGCACAAGGCGAAGTCAGTCAGGCATGGGACACAGACAATTGGACAGAAGCCCCAGATGACAGCTTGATGGGGAAGCTTCAGACTGTTCGCGCCATTCGTGTCAACGGAGCTTTTTCAGACCCGCAGAGCATACCGCAACAATTTGTGGACATCTTGTGCGAGGGTCCAACTGCTGATATGGACGCGAATCTCCGGCGCAAGCTCACTTTAGTTGGTTTCACGCTTCCTGTTGTGCCAGCGACTGACAGAATTCCAGAGGAGTTTACGCCATTGGATTGGGCAAAGCTCGGGACAAAATATGGCGTCGCCAATTACATGATGGCTTCCTACTATCGCCAAGCGCTTGCGAAGAAGCGGCAGCTGACAGTGGATGTGGACAGAAGCCCAACTTCTTGCACAGATTTGCTCTTGCGAGCGCTGCCATACTTGCTTTTTGCAGATGTGGTGGCCATCCAAGGGGACAAGTTCGGAATTCGTTCTGATGTTTCGCAAGAAGAGCTCCCATTTGAGGTTCACTACACCCATGCCGCAGTTCGGGAGTTGAAGCGCTTGGTTGGTAGTACAAATAGTTTGGAGAGCACAAAAAAGGGGAAGGTTGACATCTATACTACGTTGGAGGACGGTTCAACTTTCGCCATTGAAGCGGTCATGTCTTCTCGGGGAGCAACCAGCATTGCTAAGCATCGAGATCGCTTTGAAAGCGCGTCGATGACAAACTATGCACATGCACAGCACAAGTGCTTGCTGATCATTGGCAAATGTGGAGACATGAGAGAGATTGTGGGAAAAGTGCGGGACGGTATAGAAGTGGTCGGACTTGCGCCCAATCCATCGCACACCGGCTACTATGTCTACGTCAAGCGGCAAGGTGAGAAAGTTGTTGACTTCCACATCCCGTGCGATGGAGTTGCAAGAGGGTTCTCCTGGAAGGATGAAGAACCATTCTTTGAGATCAGTTCTGCCCAGAAATTCAAGTACATTGAGCCAGGCTGGATTTTTTTGAACATTCAAACTCAGCATTGTTTTTTGGCTTCGAAAGATGTCAGAACGTGGAGTGCGAAACTCGACCAGTTTTCCGGGCCAGTGGAAAGCAACAAACGCACTTCTCACGTTGCGCGCTCAGATTGCCGCCTGCAAGGCAGTGCCGCCCCGCAACGACCCCCAGCAGTGTGGGTCTGTCAGCTGGGAAGCCCTGCCTGGACCTTACCAGCAGCTGTGAGCAGTTTTGCCTGCCCTGCATTCACGTTCTGAAAACAGCTGTCGACTTCCTTCTCAGAAGAGCTCTCAAATTGTCGCCTAGCTCCAAAATCAAAGGCGTTTGTGGAGCCACCGGTAAAACGGATGGATGTGAACTGGATTGCAGTGCTTGTGCCTTACGAGGACGGCAAGAACTTCGAGGTCATTGGCAACCCCTTTCAAGTTAAGGGAGTTTTGGCAAACGCGGCGGCCTCAGCTGCGCCTGCGAAGGATCTATTTCAGCTTTGTTTTGCCTTCGGAAATGCCGCTTCATGCTTCGCGGGGATGTCAGGTGGATGATCTTAAAGAAGCCGTGCGCTCAGAATGGGTTTGCTTTGGCTCTTTGTCGGTTTGAGACCGTTGTCATACTCTGATAGCTTGAGGCCATCAAGCAGAAGAAGCCAAATACAGTGTCTTGTGATGCAGATGAACTGGACATATACAGCCGGCAGGAGAGCGTTGCGTGTTCAAGGGCACCCGTTTCTTTCCCCGCACCTCACCCCTTGCCGTGTCTCAGCTGGACTTTGCAGGACGGCGGCTGGGTGAAAGAAGAGACGATGTCAGCAAGTCTGCGCGAGACAGATGAGCCCAGCGCTTGGTTCCGATGCCTTGCAATTTTGGGTTGTGCTGTCGCCCAGCTGTCAGGGCAGACTGCTATGGATTCACGATTCCAGCTGGAGCTGCTGGAGCCGCATAGTTTGAGGCACCTCAGCAACCCAGCAGTGTTCCACACGTGCGAACTTGCATCGTTGCCAGGCTACTGCTGGCTGTGGTCACTGTTCTCGGCTGAGGCAATGCTGGCGCACAACGTTTCACCTCGTACAGTGACAAAAGCATGCGTTCGCAGGCACAGTTGTTTCGTTGCAGTGCGACTTTGCTTGACTCCTGAAGGGTAAGGCAGGCAACTGTTCACACTTTTGAACATCAGGCAACGGTGTTCAAGTCAAGCAGGGAATGCCTGCAACGGGTACAGGACCAGCAACAGTTGCCGGCGCTGGTCAACAGCTGTTTCACTGCGGCGTTCCTCCCTGTGCCAAAGCGCGCGGATGCAGTACCAAGCCGTTTGAAGAAGTGCGGGGGAAAGAATTGCTCTCGTGGCTTGCCAGTTTGATCTTTTTGAGCCAAGTTGTGCACAGGCCGTGCGCCCGAAGTGTCTTCATTTCTTTTACTGTTGCGCAACTTCGTCCGCCGGCGGTGCACGGCCTCCGTCAGCCGGCTCACGTCGTCCAGGTGCCGCTGCCCCTCCTGCGCCTGCCTGCGCTCGCCTAGCCAGTTGTTGAAGGCGCCTCCTCCAGTTCTCGGTAGCGCTTCAGCAGCAGCGGCTGCAGGTTGTAACTCGGATAAGTTTTGCGGAACCACCAGAGCATCTGCGGCTCGTTGCGGGGCTCAATGGACATCATCTTGCTTTTACACTAGTATGCTTGCGCCTGTTGTCAACCGGTCATAAGCCGACTGCCTCTCCAGCATGCGCAGGGCGCGCTGCTGCTCTCTTGTCGGCTTTGGCTTGCGCTTTGGGGCAGCCGGCTCAGTAGGCACGTCCTGCTTCGGTTTGTTCTTGCTGCCAGGAGGCCTCCCCCTCTTGTGCAACGTGTGGTGCCTCCGGCGCAGCGCGCGCCTCTGGCGCCTCTTGTTTCGGATGAAGGGCGTGTCAAGGGCGCCGTGCGGCTTGTGGAGTTGCGGCGTGTCAGCAAAGTCGTCGATGACTACAAGCACCTGGTGCAGTTTCTTCATTTCCAACTTCTTGGACGCTTCCGTGATCTTGCGCTGCTGCTGGATGATGCGCCGCAAGGCGGACTCATCCCACTCGTCCCAGTAAGCCTGCTCACGCTCCGTGTTCACCCCCAGGTCCTGCTCGATGTACTTCTTGACGGGGATCCAGCCATCATCGATGTTGACGCTTGGGCTGAAAACGTAGATCCGCTCAAACACGCCCTTGTACTGCTCCAGGATGAGACTGATGAGCGCCACAGTTTTGCCCGACTTGCTGGGCCCAAGGAAGATGCCCGTGCATGGCACCAGGGGCACCACGGGGTCCGAGGCTTGCTTGCTGGTGTACTCAGGCGTGGGGAAAAGCTTGATCTTCCCCATTCGTCCTTTTGCGTTACGCAAGTTCCGGAAGCCGGCCAGCGAGCCCCAGCAATACAATCCTGTTGCCGGAGGATTGACGGAGACGCAACCCAAGGCTCACATGCAGCAAATGAGGCCAAGAGAATTCCACCCTTCTGCTCTGAGTTACCGTTGCGCTTAGAAGGCACTTATCATGCTTTTCGAGCCACAAAGCTCCGCAACAGAAACGCACTTACAAGGCCAGAAACAGCGCTTTAAGCCCGGGCAACTTAAAATTCCGAGACGCACAGAATGCGACTAGAACCCGTTTTGCCTGCATATTGAAGCAGGCGGAAAACCCTTGCAGAAGTGCAAGCAGAAGGGCTGTGGCCGCACCGCGCAAAACCACCAAATTTTCGCAGAATCCACATTTGCTGAATGATAACCTCTGAAGATGCGCTGTGAGCGGTTTTAGATTTCACAAATAACAGAGAGAGCACGCACGTAGACCAGGTACTCGTAGTACTTGTCGCGGAAGAAGCCCTTGCCCAGCTTGGTCAGCCGGTGCTCTCCGCCCTGCAGGGAGCGCACGAGCTTCTTCTGCCCGTTGCGCAGCAGGATGTAGTCGTTGGGGCCCTCGCGGAGGGGCTGGTTGTAGTCGAAGTCCTTGCTGGGGGGCCGCAGGCCCAGGTGGGAGTAGTAGTGCTGGCCCGCCCGGGTCAGCTGCCCGTCCGCGCACGAGAGCAGCGCGTAGGCCCCCGGGCCGCGCCGCAGGTTCAGCACGACGGCTCCATCCGCCCCCGTGCGAGCCCGGGCGCCGCCGTCCGCGGCCTCCGTGATCTGCTGTCGTTGTCTCGCCCAACTTGCCATTCTTTTTTTACGGGTCCAGTTTTTTTTGCTCGGCCGCGCATCCTCTTCGACCAGACGTGCCCGTATGGTTGGGGAGAATAGCTTTTTACACGGTTTCCCGATTCCTATTCTCCGGGGCATCTGTGCAAGTTACAGCCGGGGAGAATAGCTTGTTTTGCATGGTTTTGCTTGATTTTGGCATGACATGATTTTGCATGATTTTGCATGTTTTTTTTTGCGTGGGTGTTTTTGCATGTTTTTGAATTGCTCACACAGCCTTCTCGTGGGGCGGTGGGTGCACCGCGATTCACAAGGCTGGTTGTGCGCCTCCGTTTTTTTGTTTCGCTCGTTGGTCGTATAGCTCCCGCGCTGCAGGTCCGGCGCTCCATGCTCCTCGTGGTGAGGCATAAGCCTCTGTTGTGCGGCTTCTTTTTTTAGAAAAGCACTGGTGGAAGTGCCCCCCCCCAAAAAAAAGGCACTGGTGGAGATGCCGCCCCAAAAAAGGCACTGGGAGTGCACCCCAAAAAAGGCACTGGCGGAAGTGCGCCCCAAAAAAAAGGCACTGGCGGAAGTGCACCCCAAAAAAAGGCACTGGCGGAAGTGCATCCCAAAAAAAAGGCACTGGCGGAAGTGCGCCCCAAAAAAAGGCACTGGCGGAAGTGCGCCCCAAAAAAAGGCCTGGCAAAAAAAGGCACTGGCGGAAGTGCGCCCCAAAAAAAGGCACTGGCGGAAGTGCGCCCCAAAAAAAGGCACTGGCGGAAGTGCGCCCCAAAAAAAAAGGCACTGGCGGAAGTGCGCCCCAAAAAAGGCACTGGCGGAAGTGCGCCCCAAAAAAAGGCACTGGCGGAAGTGCACCCCCCCAAAAAAAAAAACGGCACTGGTGGAAGTGCTCGCTATCGCATGCTGCATTTTTTCCTGGTCAGCGCGCCATGTTGTCAAGCCTCTAGTTTTTTTCCTTGCAGGTCATGAAAGGAAAGGGCAAGTGCAAGGCTCCGGAGACGGCCGGAGCGTATTTCGAGAGGAAAAACGCGCAGGCAAGGTCACGAAGTTAGCAGTCATCAAAAACGAGGGGCTCATGTTGTTTTTTGCAGGCTAAGAGAGACGCAAGACGGCGGGAAGAAGGAGAAGCGCGCAGACAGGCTGAGCGCGAGAGATTGGATCAAGAGGCCCTGGAAGTTTAGAGACTCACATGTTTTTGCAGTGGCGTGGTTTTTTGAATCATTGACAACTGAGTGGTCACACCGGCAGGTACGAGCCCGCGTAGAGGCGGAGTTGGCGCTGGAGCGTGAGAAGGTTGCCACGCAGGAGGCCGTGCAGCAGCTGCAAGAGAGGAACCAGGAGCTTGCTTTGCTCAGAGGGCAACTAGGGTCGGCTTTGGCAGCTGGAGGGGGGGCGCAGCGTGAGAACGTCAGCTTGAAACAGCAGGTCATGGAGTTGCAACACAACAACGACACCTTGAGGCAGCAGCTGACACTCGTGCAAGACCAACATGGCAAGGCAGCGGCCTTGAACGACGAGTGGAATAACTTCTACCGGGGTGCCAAGGCGCGGTTTCTCGAGGAGATCTCATGCTGGAAGGAGCGCCTTGACCTAGCAGGAAAAAAACACTCTGAAATCACGAATATGCAGCTGCGAGAACTTGAAGTTCTGCACGAACAGGCAGGGTTGGGAGTGGCACTCACATGAGGGGCGATTGTTTGCGGGCTTGCAGTCTGACGAGCACTGGAAGACCAAGAAGAAGCTGGAGCGAGAGCTGTCGGAGATGCAGCGCAAGGTACATGTTTTTTTTTTTTACGCAGAGTGCTCAGTATTGTTGCTTGCCAGGTTGAGTCATCGAAAAAGCGCAAGAAGGAGAGTTTTTTACAAGTGGCCTTGTAGATTATTGAGCAACTCTTCAGGACGATGCCGCGCAGCCGCAGAAGGTGAAGTGACCCTTTTTTTTATTTTCTCACTGAGCGATTTGACAGCTCACTGTTCCGAGTGAAAAGTGTGAGAAGTTGCGGCATTCCGACACTGCCCGCGCCATTGCTTCCTGCATCACCCCTTGACTCCCTTCCCCCAAAAAAGGGCGCTGGTGGAAGCGCTCCCGTAAAAAAAAACAACAACATTTTTTTGACCCCTTCCCAAAAAAAGGCGCTGGTGGACGCGCCTCCCTGGATTTGGGTGACGGCATGTGCTTGCATGGATTGTCCCGCTGATAGTTTTTGTTTTTGGAGAAGGGGTGGGGTGGGGGGGCGAGTGCGGTCCGATGCCAAGGCGGGGGGTGAGACAAGTGAGACACTTGAGACATCGGCCTGCGTTAGACACGTAAGGGTCTGTTTTTTTGTTCAGCCTCTCAGTTGAGACACTCGAGACACTCGAGACTTGTCTCAGGAGTCCAGACACCCCCCTGAGACACTTGAGACAACTGAGACACTCACCATGCAGCTCAGCTGTCTCAAGTGTCTCAGCTGTCTCAGGTGTCTCAGCAGCCTCGAGCTCTGCCCGCCCTGGACCAGCATCGTGCGTCAGGTGTCTCAAGTGTCTCAGGTGTCTCAATGATCTTGAGTTCCCGGAAACGATGATCTTCTTCGCTGCCACGGCTATCAGACAAGGTGGGGAACTGCGTGCGTCGTAGTTCGCATCACCTCAATCTTGGCGTCTTGAGACATGTGAGAGGCAATTGTGACAAGTCAGACGGCATTTGTGCTCTTGAGACATGTGAGAACATTTTTTTTGGGCACCGGTGTCGGGCTCGAGTTTTGGCTTTGTTGCTCTCGTGCAGCAGCGACTGACCATGGAGCACTGGGAAGCGCTGCAACGGGCGGCCCTGTCTGGCGACCCCGAGGCAGAGCAGCTGTCAGGCAGAATAGTGGGTCGTTTGGACACGGACCAAGACAGAGCTCGCTATCTTGCTGGCTACATGCAGGAGGCCGGCGACTCGGAGGCGTGGCAGGGCATCTACAAGGCCATGGAGTTCGATGACAAGCTCGAGGAGCAGTGGAGGTCTTTGCAGGCAGCGGCCCTCAACATGGACAGGTTGGCGGTGCTGCTGGCGGGGGTGGTCCAGAATCGCAGTAAAGGCGAGGGCCAAGAAGCTGTCACCTTGCAAAGGCTGCTCAAAGCCTGCCACGCACAGTCATGGTGCGACATCAACTATGGCGTGGCTTCTGCGCTCATGAACAGCATCCCGGCACTTTTCGATGAGGAGGACCTTGATAGCGAGCAGGCAGGTCCAGTCACTGGTGCTTCGCCCCACGGCAATGACGCATGCGAGTTTGAGCGACAGGAGATGGAGAGGCAGAGGATGTTTGACGCACGCGCCTTGGAGGTGAAGGTGGACACCTACGCTCCCGTGAGTAGCGATGAGAACGATCACTATGTTGGAGACATGGAGGCAGTTGCTGACGGGGATGTGGTGTACTTTGACCGCGTCAACCCGGTTGCCTTGGACGCCCTAGGCAGCTTGCAAATCAGCAAGGTGCATCGGACTGGAGCTCACGGACCTGTGCTCCGTGTCCTTGGTGATGTGGCTGTGCAGTGCTCGCGCGGCTGTGTGAAGACCTTCAAGGCCGTGTTCATAGAGGAGAAGGGGATGGTTGAGTTGGGCATGAAGGGCCGTCGTCACTCTGGCCGTCTCACGCCCAAGCAGGTCCAGGCACACGGCTTGGGCAAGTTCCGGGGTTTGGCTCCCTGCCACCTTGGCACCAGCATCTTCTGCCTGCCTCGCTTCCTGAGGGATGTGCTGCGGGCTGGGCTGAAGGACTGCTTTGTCTTTGACCTGGTCAACGCCCACATCAACATACTGCTGGAGAGGCACCCCCCTGCTGAAGGCTCTGCGCTGTTGGAGTACTGCCAGAATAGGGAGGCCGTGTTGCAGCAGACCCACGCAGACAGAGGCACTGCCAAGAACCTGTTTCTGAGGCTCCTCTATGGCGGCTCGGTCCAAAATTGGAAGAAGGTGCACAACATCGACACCTTTGCCACTGAGCCGCTGGCAGCGCGTTTTGCTTTGGAGATGCGGCAGATCAGGAAGGCCGATTGCGGCGCCAACGCGGAGAAGATGAAGAAGCTGAAGCAGGTGACGCCTCGACCGGCAGAGTACCTGCAGTATGCCTTGAACACTGCCAAGGAGAGGGAGCTCATCGACAAGGCCATCCAGGTTGTCGAAGACGCCGGTGGCACGGTTCTGGCGTTGGAGCACGACGGCCTGTTTGTGCATTTGCCGGCGGAGGAGTTCGAGACGTTCAACCGCGACATGCAGTGCGCCCTTGGCGTGAACTACCCGTACACCCTGCAGCCAACGCCCTCTGTGGAGAAGGCCTTGGAGAAGGCAAAGCTTGTGATGTGCCAGGGCCCGCTGGAGCATCTCCGGCACCTCAAGGACGAGGAATGGCGGACACACCACCACCTGATCTGCCAGGCCTACGCGGGGAATCTTGCACATCACGGCCTGTTCGCAGAGGTGATGCTTCGCTCCCCGGCAGTCAACACAAACATCCCCTACGGCATCACCCAGATCTTCAAGATACTGGTGGACACAGGGCACAAGGCATGGTACTCATGCCAGCACCTGCAGTGGATCATCACCGGAGATTCTGCCATGGACTCCTTGAAAAGCTGCATCCAGATCATTGCCCAGCGAGACTTGGGGCACTACCACACAACCTGGTCAACAGAAAGCAACGAGGTGAGGGTCTCCACGCGCTGGGATTTCTCTGCGGAACCCTTCAAGAACAGTGTGGCACAGTCGCTGCGCCCCCACCTCGGCACGACAAGCGAGCTCTGGGCCCTGGACGGTGAGGAGACACGCCGGTTGCTGAATTTCGAGGGCACGGTGCTGGACAGAGAGACGTTGCAGTGGCGCAAGGTCACTCCGGAGATGAAGATATCGCGCTCCACAGGCTGGACGCATCGCTGGCCATCCTGGTGGACTCACGGCCCACAGATTCGTGCAGCGCTCCGCAGGGTTCGAGAAGCACAGGACCGCCCCGGCGACTACGAGCTTGACCCCGAGATCTGCGCCGAGCTCGACCGTTTGGCTGCTGAGGTCAAGGAGCTCGGCATCTTCCACTCCTACACGCGAGACGACTGGGGCAGCACCGTGTATGAGCTGATGCTCATCATGAAAGGGGTCTTCGCCCTCCCCATGGCGGCAGCTCTTTGGACCAGGGGCGTAGGGAGGAATGGGAAAGACACGGTGTGCAACATCCTCCAGAAGGTCCTCGGAAGCTACGCGGTGAGCATAGCGGCCGAGACACTGGTGAAGGTGAGAGATGCAAACGCGCCGAGCCCTGTGTTTGCCATGTGCCGTGCCCGGCGCTTCGTTGCCGTGAGGGAGGTGGACGGCGCCGAGAACATTCGGCTCCAGCTGTACAAGACGTTCACAGATGGCAACAGCGAACTGGCCGGCCGAGATCTCTATGAGAAGCTGGTCCGCTTCAAACCTCACTTCCTCGTGTTCTTCGCAGCGAACAACCCGCCGCCCTTGGTGTCGGATTATGCAGTCCGACAACGGACGGCGGTCGTCGAGCACACCACAGTGTTCGCCGACCAGCCCGATGAGGCGAATCAACAGCAATGGGTCCCGATCGAGGACATGCTGGCAGAGCTCACCCCGGGTTTCTTTGCCTTGTTTCATTTGGCTTATGAAACCCTTCTTTGGGGCCGCAAAATGCGCACGATCGGCCCCGTGCCGGCCAAGTGCGCGGCCTTGCTCGAACAAGAACTCACAGATGAGCTTGGCGATGCTGTCAAGGAGTTCGTGCTGGCGCGCTTGGAGCGGGCTACACGGCTGACGGCAGGGGCCCCGGCGGCCGACATCTACAGCGCCCTGCAGAAGCACCTGGAGACCAAGATGGAGGAGGGCAAGATCTCGGTGGAGGTGAATGGCAATCTTCTGAAGCAGGCTGGCCTGGTGGAGAAACGCACCAAGACGGTGTTGGGTGTCGATGGCAAGCGCCGGAATGTCTACGTGCTGCTCTACCGCTTTCCCAAGGCAGATGGCGGCAAGGACCCCATTGAGAGCGGCGTGAAATTGAGCACCGGGAACGCTGATGCAAGCTCGGCACGTCCCGTGATATGTGAACGCATCACAGTCGAGCTTGATGCCGCTGGTACAGGATCCCGCTGGTACAGGAGGAACAGAAAAAAAAACAACTGCCAGGGAGTCCATTCATTGTGGTTCGCTGCCTTTCTTGTTGCATTTTTTTTGATGGACCGGGTCTTGGTCTGTGTGTGTGCCAGGTATCGCTCTCAGCGGCCTCAAGCCCTGTCCACACCCCAGGGGCTGGCATGAGTCCATTCATTGTGGTTCGCTGCCTGTTCTTGTTGCATTTTTTTTTGAGGGACCGGGTCTTGGTCTGTGTGTGTGCCAGGTGTCGCTCTCAGCGGCCTCAAGCCCTGTCCACACCCCAGGGGAGTCCAGAGACAACTGAGACATTCACGTTTTTTTTCTTTTCTCATGAGCCCAGACACCCCCCGAGACACCTGAGACAACTGGGACATTCACGTTTTCTCTTTTCTGAGGAGGCCAGACACCCCTTCTCAGACACTTGAGACAACTTCTCAGACACTTGAGACAACTGAGACACTCACGTTTTCTTTGTGCAGTGTGTCTCAGGTGTCTCAGCCGTCTCAGGTGTCTCAACGGCCTGGAGCTCTGACCCCAGGGTCAGCTTGGTGTCTCATGTGTCTCATGTGTCTCAGGCTCTGACCCCAGGGTCAGCTTGGTGTCTCATGTGTCTCAGGTGTCTCAGGTGTCTCAACGGCCTGGAGCTCTGCCCACTCACGTGTCTCAGCTGTCTCAGCTGTCGCAACGGCCTGCCCAGGCTTCAACGAGGAGCGGAGACTTGTGGTGCAGATGCTTTTTTTTTGAGCAGCGCAAAAAGCGCGAGATGTGACGTTTTTTTCCTTCTCTTGAGATGTCCAGCAGTCAACGGTCATGTCGCACTTTCCCCCTTCTTCTTGCAAACTATGGGGGTCTGCGCGATTCCTTGCCCCCCCCCCAACCGCACTGCGGCTGTTTTTTCTTGGGGCGCCCATCTTCTAAACGCGCGGTTTGGCTCAAGAAAGTACTGGAAAGTTGCCAGCCCCGTTGGTTTCGCGAGGACCCCAAACCCTAAAGGGACATTTGCACGGTTTTGCGCCACAAAATGCTATTCCTCCAGGCCGTACACACATGTACACCCTGTAAGAATAGCATTTTTTTGCACGTTTTTTTTTTGCACGGTTTGCCCATGCCAGCCCTGCTCATTTGATTGGTTCGCCCAACCCGTTGGTTTCCCGAGCACCCCAAACCCTAACCCAAAAAAAGGAGATGAGCAGGCCCCGGGAATTCCCCTCACCTTGAAGAACGCCTCAAAGCTGTTTTTTTTCAAAAAAAGGGTTTACTGACGTCGTCCGAGAGACTTGGGGTGCTCGTGCAGACTTGTCTTTTTTTTGTCAACCTTCAACCTTGCCTCCACTCCAACCAAATGTTTTGAAGGTGGCTTGCGTGCACGGGCAAACTCAGGAAAATCAGGATTTTGCTAGGGTTGCCTCTACACCCCAAAAAAACATGACTCAAAGTACTACAAGTTTCCAGCGCTTTATGCAAAGTTTCCAGCTTGGTCCAAAGTAGCCGTAATCAGTTGAGAGTCCTGGGCCTTGGAGGCGCCAGGAAGTCGTCCAGCTGCCTCACGGCCGCCGGCCTGCCCCGTCTCGTCAGTCGGCCCGCCGCGTTGCCGCTGCCCTGCGGCGCCAGCTTCAGCAGGGTCTTCCGGCTCCGTGCTGCGGACGGTCATGGAGTCCACGGCGCCCAGCTGCTGCACGTCGCCGTACTGAGGGTTGAAGCTCCTCGCCGCGTTCGTCGGCGCTCGGAAGGCGCCCGCGTCCTCCACCGCCTTCACGCGCCGGTCGGTGAGGTCCTTGTTGTGCTGGAACTTGTCGGCGTTGTCTTGGAGGACCCTGAACTCTGTGGCCGGCTGCTTCTCCACGTCCTCGGGCGCGCCGTGCACTGTCTCGTGGGGCCGCGCGTTGTAGGCCCCGGCCGCCCGCTCAAAGTGGTCGCTCCACTGCCCGCCCTTGCGCGCCACCCTCGTGGCCAGGTCCTTCTTCAGCGTCTGGCCCCGGTCCACCACGGCAATGGCGTTGCGGTCCTCGGGCCGCTTCGTCCGGTGCACGGCTTCCGCGGGCAGCTCCCGGTCCAGCGTGGCGAACTCGTTGCCCAGGTCGGTCGTGACCACGAAGTTCTTGTCGTCCCCAGTCAGCTCCTGCGTGGCACGCTTGGTGGCCCGTCCGACCGTCTCGGCGTTCTTGTTGTGCAGAGGTTGCACGGCGGCCTCCCGGGTGAAGACGTCCATCACCACCAGGCCGTACTTCGTCTTCCCCCGCGTGTTCTGGCTGAAGTCGATGAGGTCGGCCTGCAGCCGGTCGTTCGGCCCCTCGGCGGCCGACTTGCCCAGCGCGCGCGGCCGGGGCGCCTGCACCTGCCGGCCCACGTCGGCCTTCAGCGCCTCGAAGGCCATGGCCTGCGTCACGTCGAGGTCGCGCTGCCTCGCAAGTCGGTACAGCTTCCGCGGGTCCCGCACGTTGAAGTCGTCGGCCAGGTCCCTCAGCGCCTCCATGTTTACTTGTTCTTCGGCCCCCGCTGCGCCTGCCAGGCTTCCACCTCGTCCAGCCGGGCCTGGAAGCCCTTGCACACCCCCCACAGCACGCTGGTGAGGTGAGAGTAGTCGAGAGTAACCATCTCCGTGCCGTCGCTCCACCGGGCGGTGCCCGTCAAATTCTTCCACTTCGTTCCTGCGAAGTCGTTTGAGGCGAAGCCCAGCCTCAGGTCGCCGTTCATGTCCGGGCGCTTGTACTGCTTGGCCTCCACGGAGCTGCTGGAGCTCCGCCACGTCGGCCTCGGCCATCTCCGTCTTCACCCGGCTGTCCGACAAATTCGTGAAGCTCGTGTTGCAGACCACGTTGCCCGTGTTGCCCGCGATCACGAGGCAGCCGGGGTTCCTCTGGTTCGTGGTCAGGGACAGCTGCGTGGAGAGGCTCTTCGTCTGCACCAGCGCCTCGTCGTTGATCATGATGAGCTCGCACTGGTGCGCCCCGCCGTCCCGCTCCAGGAAGACCCTGGCGCTCTGGTTGCCCAGCAGCCGCAGCTCCGGGCCGCTGTCGGGGGCCGCGCTGTTGTTGGACACTTGCAGCTTGCTCCAGCCCGCCCAGTTCTTCGTCAAGAAGAGATCGTCCGAGAAGTCGGAGGTGTTGGTCACGGTGAGCGTGTTGGACGCGAAGAGCTGCGGCGCGGAGACCGTGCCCGAGCTCGTCACGTCGCCGCACACCACGCTGCCCGTCGACACTCCGCCGCTCGTGGCCGTGAAGGTGCAGTCCAGGCTCTCGCAGTCCAGCGGGCCCGTGGAGGCCGCCCCGGTGATGGTCAGCGTGGCGCCCGTGAGCGCCCGGTGGCTGCGAAGCTCGCCGCGGTTGCTGCGCCCGAGGCCGTCAATGTCCCCGTGGACACGTCGCCCACCGTGGTGAAGTTCCCGGCGTTGGCCGTGTTGTTGATGGTGAGTGTGCTGCCCGTGATTCCGGTGGCGGAGCTCAGCAGGCCCACGCTGGCCGCGCCGGTGATGCTCAGCGAGCTGCCTGACACGGCCCCTGTGGACGTCAGCGCGGCCCCGGCGACGGTGCCTGTGGCTGTGAGCGCTGCGCAGGAGACTGCGCCCGAGGCGTCCACGCCCGTGGTGAACACGTCCGTGCAGTTCACGTCGTTGCACAGCAGCTGGTCGCAGCCCACGTTGCCCTGCGCGGAGAGCCCGTCCAGCGTGGCCGAGCCCGTGAGGGCCAGCGAGTCCGCCAGCAGGTCCGTTACTGAGACCGACTCTCCCTCGAAGGCGCTGGCCCTGATCTGCATGCTGTACAGGTCCAGCGTGCCCGCCGACTGCTGCACCAGCCCGGGGATGGACCCGCCGAAGGCTCCGAAGTGCAGCTTCGCGATTCCGCCCGGCGGCACCGAGAAGTCCAGGCGCGCCGTGCTCCAGACGCCCTGCGAGGGCGTGCCGAGGAAGGTGCCGGTGACGCCCACGTAGTCGTTGTCGGCCGCGCTGACGTACATCACCAAGTTGGAGGCCGTGCCCAGCCGGTACCGGCAGCCGAAGGAGTAGCGTCTCCCCGGCGTCAGCGTGTAGGTGCGCACAATGTTCCAGGCGAAGGCGCTCAGGGTCATGGCGTAGCCCTCCAGCTGGAAGCCTCCCACAGTGAAGCTGGCCGAGGCACGGAGCTCTGGCTGTTGGAGCGCACCAGAAAATTTCCTAATGTGGTGAGCGTGGGCTCCGGCCAGCGTGACGTCGTCGGCCCCTCCGTCGAGGAACTCGTGCTTCAGCAGCAGGGCCGAGGCCGCCGTGTCCTCCTCCTCCACCGTGTTGCCGGTCTCCAGGGTTGCGTCCAGGATCTGGAGGCCGTAGACGTCCACCGTTCCTGCCGTCTGGTTGGGCAGGCCCGGCGCCTGGAAGTGCGCCCCGAAGTGCAGCTTCGCAACTCCGTTCGGAGGCACTGTGAAGTACATCTTGGCCGTGCTCCAGGCGCCCTGGTCGCCCACGAAGCTGCCGTACAGGGGGTCGTAGACGTTGTCTGCCTCGGACATGTACACCACGAAGTTGGAGGCCGTGCCGAGCCGGTACCGGCAGGCGAAGAGGAGCTCTCGGCCCGGGGTCAAGTTGTAGGTGCGCGCAATGTTCCACGGGTTCGCCGCCAGGGTCAGGGTGTAGCCGTCCACACTTACTCCCGCGGTGTGCGTGGCCAGGAGCCGCTGCTGGGGCGGACCGTCCAGTTTGACAGCGAGACGTCCGTGGGGCCCAGGATCTGCTCTCCTATGGCTGCCACCACCTCGTCGGCCCCTCCGTCGTGTGGAAAGCGCACTGCTATCTGCAGCGCCGAGGCTGCCTCCGTGACTCCGAGTTTGTTGGCCAACAAACCGTCCACCTGCGTGATGGTGTAGTAGCTGAGCAGGGCGGCGGCGATGCTTGAGGCCGTTGCCGTGTCCTGGTCGGCGGCCGAGCGGTACGCCACCAGCGCGGAGGTGTTTTGGTTGGTTGTGAAAACATCCTGGTCCGGGCCCGTCCGGTAGGCCAGCAGCGCGCCTGCGATGGCGGCCTGCGTCTGCGTGT